GAGGTGGGATGGAAAGGGAGAGAAAGGGAAATTGCATGGTAATGCAGGAAGACCCTCATTTTTATACAAAATTACATATAAGAGGTTGTGAGGGGAATGGGAAAATAAACAAGGAGAGAAATGAATTACAGTGGATGGGGTAGTGAGAGAAGATGGGTGGGGAGGGAGGGGGGATAGTAGAGGATAGTAAAGGTAGCAGAATACAACAGTTACTAATAGGGCATTATGTAAAAATGTGGATGTGTAACCGATGTGATTCTGCAATCTGTATTTGGGGTAAAATTGGGAGTTCATAACCAACTTGAATCTATTGTATGAAATGTGATATGTCAATAGCTTTATAATGTTTTGAACAACCAATAAAAAAAACAAATTAATTTTTATTTATTCATTCATTTGTTCATTCACTAATTCCCCAGCACCTAACTTGACATCTGAAAGATAAGAAGATTCAAAAATTCTTATCGAGTAAATAAAAAGATGGACAAATACATTACAACCTTAAGGGGAATATGTTCATAGTTCAAACAATTTTATTCCATGTTAATTTCCATCATATTGAATCACAAAAGTCTATGCAATTACTTTCACGAGATCTAATATGGAGCTCCTTTGTGCATGACTATAATAATGATAAAATAAAATGTATTTTCCCCTTAAAGCCCTAAGGATTTATGTAGTGTTTCTTTATCAAAAGAGTTGTTCATTAGCTACATGAGATAATGCTACATACAATGTCCTTTCTAAAATAATAATGTTATTGAAATGCAATTCACATGCCATCCAATTCCCACATTTAAAGTGTATAAACTGATTGTATGTATTACAATCACCAAGTTGTGCAACCATCACCACAATCAGTAATAGAACAGTGTCAACATGCCAAAAAGAAATCTTACTCATTAGCAGTCACTCCCAATTTCATCCAGGCTCCTGGTGATCAGGCAGACTCTAATCTACTTTCTGTCTTTGTGGATTTGCCAATTCTGGACATTTCATATCAACTGAATCATGCATTAGGTGGTATTTTGTGACTGACTTCTTTACTTAGAATAATTATTTCAAAGTTCATCATGTTGTAGTATATATTAATCCTTCATTCCTTCTCATGCCTGAATTATATAACATTGTACGGATATACCATTTTGTTAATTTATTCATCAATTGATAGACATTTAGGCTATTTCTACTTTTTGGCTATTATGAATAATTGTGCTATGAATATTCAAGTACATGTTTCTGTATGTTTTCATTTCTTTTGGGCAAATTCATAAGAGTGGAATTTCTGGGTCATGGGGCAACTAACTCTATGCTTCATCTTTAAAGAAACTGCCAAACCCTTTCCAAAGCTTTTGCACCATTTTACATTCACACTAGTAATGTATGAAGGTTCCAGTTTCTCCGACATTTGTTATTATCTCTCTCCTCTCTCTTTTAACTTATAGCCATCCTAGTGTGTGTATAGTGGCATCTCCTTGGGTTTTGATTTGCATTTATTTAATGCAAATAGTCAAAAGGAATCATCTTTTGACTGATAAAACTGAGAGGAGACAATGTTTTTCTAAATAATTAACCATCTCTTACTTCTTTTCAGGTACTTTTCTTTGGTGAAGAAGTTCTCATCTTCCCAATATATTAAACATTAGGATGGGGGCTGGAAATGTAGCTCAGTGGAAGAACACTTGCTAGCAAATGTCAGACCCTGAATTCCATCCCCAGCACTGCAAAAAACAAAAATTGAAAAGCAGAACAAATACCCCATCATTATTTTTATCTAGGTGTTTCACATACATCTGCTTCTTAAAGGACATGCACAATTATAACCTTTAGTACCTATGCATTAGTTTTTTGTGTGATGTAAGTATCTTACAAGTGCATAATGAATAAATAGTTCAAGAAAAAGCTATATTTATGTTAGCAACTATTCTCATAAGAAGGAAAGCAGCAAATTTCAGAGGATGAACCTGCTCAGAACTGCTAGATTTTTTGTGATTCAATCTTTGCTTATATATTACACTATGGAAAGCAAAAAGTCAAGTAGCTCCCCTGAGTAACAACAATTTCCCAAGCCACAAGTACAATTATTCAGAAGTTATAATTTATGACAAAAGTTCTGGGTTGTGAAGAAAGGGGAATACAGATAGTTGAAACAGGTGAGAGATCAAATAAACAAGTGGACAATAGCCTGAACTTGGATAAAAATAGAACTCTGACCCACAATCTGAACTAATGAGCCCAGGAAACCAATTCCTTATGAAGAACAACCAGTGCAGGAAGCCAGTCTACCATCTACAAGCCAGACCTGGAGGAAGTTAGTCTACTGTCTCTAAGAAACAGTCCAGGAAGCCAAACAATAACTCCTATAACAATTGGCCCCAAATGACCAGCACTTGCTTAATAACTGACTGCTTCCTTTATTTTTCTTTCCACCTCCAACTTAGGACCAATCAAAAAAAGCCAAATATGCACCCTTATACAATTTCATACCATGTTCCACTTCCAGTTAGTCTGCCTACATCTTCCCCATGTTATTCACCTCCATCAGGTCATGCATGAATTCAGTTTTTTACTCTGTGAAGATATTCCACTCCTTTGCCTGCCTTTAAGTCTCTGACAAAATACAAGAGGCTCCTTTGTAATCAGTGAGTACAAAGACTGCCTGTTATCATTTGGTTGGTATTCATTTATTTCCATAGAGGCTATTTGGATTTAATATTTCATCTGATTTATAGTTAGCTTAACTACCTTCTGAATCTAACCAGAAGAAATGACTCCTATGGCAGTATGTTATACTATGAGTTAGTCTCGTGGCATGGGGGTAGCATGAAGCTTGGAGCTAAGAGACAATAACTGTACTTCCAGTCCTCTAGTGACCATTGTGTGACTCTAGGCATACCACCGTTACAGACCTCAGTTTCCCCATGTACAAGGTTGGAATGACAGGAATGGGATGGGGAGTAGACTGTATCTCTAAAAAAATCTTCTTCATTATAGAATATTAAAAATATTCTGTGGTTGTCTGCTTTCCCCAACACATTCTTACGTGTTTTAGACTGAATGCTTTCATTCAGTCTCCCTAACCTAATTCATATTTTAAGATCCTATCCCTCAGTGTGATGATATTAGGTTGTGGGAGGCTTTGGGAAGTAATTGAGTTATAATTGTTGTCTCAGTCCTTTTGGACTAGTATAACAAAATACCACAGACTGGGGAGCTTATAAACAGCATAAATTGGCTTTCCAATTTATGAGAGATGGATATCTCTCACAGATTTGGAGGCTGGGATTCTAAAATAAAGGCGTTAGATTTGGTATCAGTTGGGGGTCAACTTCCTATTCATAAAATTGCCCCTTATTTCTGGGTCCTCATGTAGTAAAAGGCAGTTCTCTGGGCTTCTTTTATATGGCCTCTGCTGAAACTCTAAGAAAATATGAACAAGTAGTATTTCAGTAATTGATTTAATTAAAGACTGAAAACAATTATTCTATTCAGTTGGGAGACAACAAATCTGCTCCATCAGTTCTCAGGCTGAAAAATTGCTGATTTTCCTCATCAACCAAAATAAGAGAAGAAATCTAAAAGTCAAGCTACCTTAGCAAGGTTTCCATATCCTTCCATTTTGTGTGTCCAGGAGTGCCTAGTGCTTCTAAGTCATCAGTGGAAACCAGCATGATATGGCCCTGTCTGAATGTGTGCTGACTGAAGAGGTATGCAGCTTATGCTACCTTTCTATGTATGGGTTTATATGTCTCCTCTTCTAAAAAGACAAATGTGATGGTTGAATGTGATGATCATTATTATCCAAAGTACATGTATGAGGACACAAATTGGTGTGAGTATATTGTGTATACAACCAGAGATATAAAAAATTGAGCTCTATATAGGTAGTAAGAGTTGTAATACATTCTGCTGTTATATATAAATAATATATATGTATATATATGTGTGTATGTGTGTGTAGATAGATAGATAGATAGACAGACAAATATGAAACGTTGGCAGTGAGCTGCCTGTAGAGTTTAGTCCCTGAAATGGACACAGATGCTGCAGATATCTGTCTGAAGATGCTGTTCAGATATCTGACTTGGGTTGTTCAGAAGTGCTAGAATGATGGTGTCCAAGGTCGACTCAGTAATCGAATCTCTCCAACCTGATGTGTGGGTTCTAGAATGCAAGGAAGTGCCTACTCCTGCAGAACAGTGTACAGACTGTGTTCATGGCTCCACCACCTACCACAGAAGCAATTCTTCCAAGGAAAGCCAATTCCCACTGGGGCTTGGACCCCATAGGCAGGTGTACAGAGTATCTGTCAAACACTACATCAATCAGTTTGTCTCGTGATCACACAGACATATCCCAGGGCATGAGCCAGCCCTACATGCATGGCCAGGGCTGATATCAGCATCTGACACCTTATTGCCCCAAAGCACCATCCTTGCTTTCCCATCATCCACCTCATCCAGGATGTGATTTAGAGCTACACTCGTGGATTCTTAGGGAATATTTTAAATCTATCTGAAATGTGTTTTATTCACTGATTTTCAAACTTGTCTGCAAGTTGGAGACATCTGGGAAGTGACAGAGATTCTTTGATTGACCAAATTTTGGTCAGGCTGCCTTCTCCTAAGTCCATCTGTGCATTTCCTTGTAAAATCCAGTTTTATCAAATAACCTTCCTAAGTCAGTGTAGCAAGAATCCTTAACACTTATTTGATTACTCTTAATGTCTGATCAGATTCTTTATCCTCCACCATCCCCTATGTGATGTCTGATCACTTGGCCTGTCTTCAGCAAGAATCTTGTAAGGTTGGTTTAGACAGAATACCCCTTACCCTTGATGCTTTCTCTTAGTCATATTTCATCCACCAACCCTATCAATGAGCTCCAATTAAATTATAATATTTTTTGTCTAATAAAAGGCTTGAACCATCTATCTCCCTATTTAAAGTTTTAGAAAGTAAACCACTTACAACAACAAACGAAACAAACAAACAACAAACAAAACAAAACAAAACACACTCTTTATTTTCTGTTTAGACAGCTAAACAGAGTCCCTGTTCCCATTCCTATAATTATCAATTGATAACTTTGCTATATTTGTTACAAATGGTGATTTACAAGATTTGTAGAACTGCAGAATCGTATGCCAAGTGCCAAGAAATCTGAAAACCTTGATTTCATCAAAACTTGGAAAACTATCAGTTTCCCTTTGGATTCTCCTTTTCCCTTATATAACTCATGATCAGGCTTGGGGGATAAGGCAAATTTGAGGCATATCACCAACCTTCTGAGTTGGTACCTTCTCAGTTAAAATTTCTCTACCTCAAGTGTCAGTGTTCATTTATTAATTGGTTGCTGCACACTGTGTACATGAATCTAATATTCAGGTTGGTAACAACCCCACTCTGCTTCTTCCCACTTGCCCCTGCTGTATTCAGAGTTGAGCCCAATCTTTCTCCCCTATCTAAAATCTCATTGCTGTTGTCCCTTTACTTATGGTGATGGTCCTCAGTAAAGTCTTCCTTAACTTGCTTTACCAAGTGTCATTGATTTTTTTTTCTTTAACATGAGTTTTAGAAAATACTAATGCCTGGTCCCACCTCCAGAACTTCTAATTTAATTGGTCCAGGTACAGCCAGAGCATCAACAGTTTCCAAAACTGCCCAGGAATTTCCAATGTACAGCAGAGTTTACGTGTACTGATATAGTTGGTAACCTCTTTCAGTGAAAAAGAGAAGAAAATTACCAACTGTGGGGTGTCTAGTGGGAGATTCCCCCAGTAGAGTTCCCACCAAATACAAGATCCTTCTGAGGGTGTGTCTGCCCATAGTTGCAGAACTTGGTTCAGAGGAAGGCACCATGAAGCCCCTCTTAACATAGCTAAATTCCCAGCTTTTCATGTTGATAAACTGCAGGCCAGATCACTGCATTCCCCTGCCGTGCCTAAAAAGTCATAACAATACTAATTATGATTGTAATTGTTTTTAAAAGATAAAATGATGTCCTCTGGAGAGTGTGCCAGCTCAGTAAAATTGCCAGCAGCAGAGGTTGCAAACTGTGAAGACCATAAATCTAAGGACAGCCAGAAGTTTTATTTCCTTCTTTCTTGAAAACTGCATAGCATTTGCAAAATCTGAAATGATACCAAAGAAGCACATACATTTAATTATTTGAAGTTAAATCTAGCTACTTTTGCCAATCACTTTTAAGGGGAAAAAAGTAGAAAGCATGCATTTTTTTTTAAAATGTGTTATATTTCAGTAACTAAAAGGGGCTTTTATCAAGCCAGACAAATTGAAACAAAGGGCTAATGCAAACTCAAAATCTGGACTCAATCCTCAAAAAACCCAGAAAGAAATACTACATTAAAAAAAGTACTTACTTTGCTGTACTTCCAGAATCATGCCACTGTCTTTCTTCCTCTCCAAACCATACATATGGATATACCTATTAGACACATGGCAAGACAGTGAATAGGTGGTTTGGGCAATATTTAAATTTATGTAAGACAATGTTGAGATAGATGTTTAGGAGAGAGAGAGAGAGAGAGAGAGAGAGAGAGAGAGAGAGAGAGAGACTGACTCTCAAAGGAAATGCCCAGAGGCTACTGAGATGCAGAAGATACAGTTGTAAATCTTGAGCAAGATGCCCTTGGTTTGTGCCCTTGTAAAATGAGAAAAATGTGTAAGTGCAATGAAAACTGGCACAAAATTTGTGCAGTTCCACCTCCACCAACTCCTAACTACAGCCCCTGTATAAACATTGGACCCCTCCAACCCAAAGAGGTGCTTCTCACTGTTGAGACAGCCTGCATTCTCCCTTGAATTGTATCTACTTCCTAAGTAAACCTCTGTCTATGCCTTTGTCTGGCACATGATGAAATTCTTTTCTGTCACAATTATGGTTTAGATATAAGATATCCTCCAAAAGCTTATGTGCAAGACAATGCAAGAATATTCAGAGGTTAAATAATCAAATTATGAGAGTTGTAACCTAATCAGTAAATCAATCCACTGATATGGATTAACTAGGTAGTAATTGCAAGCAGGTAGGATGTAGTTGGAGGATATAGGTCATAGGAGCATGCCTTTGGGAATTATATTTTGTTCCTGGTGGACAAAGCTCTCTCTGTTTCCTGGTTGCCATGTCCTGGGCTGCTTTCCTGCACCACACCCTTCTGCCGTGATGTTCTGCCTCACCTCAGGCCTAGAGCCATGGAGCCAGCCAGTCATGGACTGAACCTCTGAAGCTGTGAGCCCCAAATAAACTTTTCTTCTTCTACATTGTTCTTTTCAGGTCTTTTGGCCACAGAGATGAAAAAGCAGACTAAAGCAGTCATATATGCCAAGAATCCCTGTTGGTCATGAGTTGAATTCTTTTGCCTCTTTGAGAACTCCTCAGACCCTTCTCTGGAGACGTCTCTTTCCTTGAAATAGCATAATATAGAAAGAGCGTGAGATTTGAGAGTCCCACAACTGAATTTGAATTCTGAATTTACTATAATTTAAATGTGACCTTGGACAAGTCATTTAAACTCTGAATCTCCATTTCATATTCCCACCTTTTTCATAACATCATGCATGGCCAAGGGAAAGTGGAAAGGGGAATAAAATTGAGTAATAATTGCCATGTTCAACAAATCTTGGTTCCCTTCCCTTCAGATCATTCAACTAAATACAGAAATACACATCTATCTGCTACTCTCCCCCACCTATTTCTTCATTTACATGACTACTATACCATTATCCTCATGCGCACAAATTCACTGTTCCAGAATATTCTTATCCAAACAAATAACTTAATTGTTCACTATAGAAATGTTCCCAAAGAGGGTCTATTCTTCAATAGGAAGCATCAACTGATAACTTCTTTCCTAAGACTTTCTTACTTCAAAAATTTTGCCTTTCCTCAAAATTTAATCTTTAAGGGATTGAATATGCAAATGAACAGTGGCCATACCATATAGATAGACAGACAGACATACAGACAGATAGATAGATAGATAGATAGATAGATAGATAGATAGATAGAATGCTGACCCACAATTTGTAGCAACTAGCTGAGGAAACCAAACCATTAATGACATTAACCAGCTTAGAATTACATTTCACCAGTCAAAAGTCAGACTTATAAGAAGTCAGACTCCTGTCTCTAGTAAACCGTCTGGGAAGCCAAATAATAATGCTGTCAAAATTGGCCACGAACAACCCTGACTTGATTAATACTTGCTACTTTCCCTAAATTCTTTCCTTGCTTCTAATATAGGACCAACTGGAAAAAGCTAAATGTGTACCACTAATCAATCACATAGGTTGCCCTAAGTGTGGGCAGTCTTCCTATAATTTTTCCCTGCCAACAGACTCCAACCAGGGCATATGTGAATTCTCTTTTTCCACACTCAAGACTTTCCCAGTCCTCTGCCTGCCTTTGAGTCTGTGCCAAATACAGGTGATAGTGGCCAATTCCTTTGCTACAGTGAGCTCTGAATAAATAGCTTGTGTATGTTCTCAATTGGTTGGTCTTCATTTATTTCCATTACTGATCATGATCCTTATCCAGTCTTAATCAAGGCTGTGTCAGGAAGTGAACATTTTCACTTTCCTGCATAATTAGGACTTGCTGAGCAAATTTTACTGAAATCTGGGTTAAAGAACAACTCTTCTAAATTAAAGGACAATTGGATCACAGTGAACTCCAAAAAGATTTATCTTCTAGGAAGTACCTCCCTGGAGGTCCCTGTGTACATTTCAAAGGAGAATTGAAAAAAAAAAATGAAAACCCAAAAACAGATTCAAAGGAGAATAACCCAGACATGGAGACATTCTAAGGTTGTAAACCCTGCCAAGTTTGCCTTAGCTCTCCCCAGAGACATTTATTTACATTCTAAAGTGATCTTTTTCTTCTTTCCCAAGGAGATTTTGTTTAGAGCTGGGTATTGGTTTCTTTCTCTCTTTCAGAAGGGGAACAGGGATGATGTGCAAAATCATCCTATGTAAACGCTAGATTCGTAGTTTTAGGGTTCCTTTACAAGAAGTCACCTTTGTTTACACATCTATATCTGTCATCCCAGAAAAGTGAAAAAATGTGGTGTATGGAACTAATGCAGTTATCACTGTAATAAGTAGTAACCTGAAACAAATGGGTTCATTGAACTACTATAGATGATAACCAGAAAAAGAACCAGTTCCGCAATGACCAGCAGCAAACCTAGGTAGCAGCTGAAAAAAATATCCACTGACCTAGAGCTCAGAGTATTTTTATAATAAAAATTTGAAGAATGAAAGCACAGGCTGTTCACATTGAATCTACATGTGCCACAGATAAGATGGGTGGGATAATATGAAGTGGGGAAAGCTTTGGGATGGGAGCACAGTCCATAAGAAGTAATTGTTGCTTCTGGACTAGTTAGAATTCACAGTACATAGAGATTTTATACAAACAATGGTCCTAGGATTGGCAGTGTTGTGATTTAAGTCAGAGTTTCAGCATATATTCAGGATGTGAAATCGTCTTATTTTCTCCCACACTTGTTAATCAATTAGTTTCCTTTATGTTTTACCCTTTCCAACCTCCAGCCCTGGTAGTGTAAACATCCCCAAATTTCCTTTTTATCACTATCTAGATCCAGTTTGAGAGATCATAAATATGTCACCCAAAATATGAGGAATTATTAAGGTAAAAGTGCTTAAAAAGCAGCAGATGCAAGAAAGATTTACAAAGACAAAAGCTATCCTTCTTTGCCCTCCACCAAAAGTTGACTATTGAAGACAACTTTCAAAATGTATCAGAGGAATTTACAGTAACAGTCTTTACTTTTGTCATCAGACCCAGGTCCTGTTGCTCACCAATAAAACCAATACTTGGAAGAAAAGAGTTGATGAGAAGTAAATCCGTTTTATGCAAGGGCCAGCATCCTGAGAAGTTGGAGAAGACATTATCCTCAAAGCTCCATCTTGGGTAACTCAGGTAAATGAAAGAGATTTTAATGGAGGGAAAAGAGATACAGGTAACAATAGGGAGGAAGCCTACATGCTAGTAGGTCCTTCCTCATCCACAGCGTCCTTCTCTCCTCTTTTCCTAACTAGAACATTTTGATGGATCTCAGTCTTCTGGGGTTAGTTCCTGTAGTTTTTTAGATATATTACTTTTTTGAAAATTAAACCTCATAGCAATTTACATGCTATATGTTAATTGATATAGAGAACTGAAGAATAAGGAGGGACATTACATGTTCTGAAACAGTCTGAAGGTTCCAGAGGTTCTGGGTTCTATAAACCTAAAGAAATATTATTTAGTAGTTAACAGTTTAATTATTGCTATGGTTTAGATCTGGACTGCTCTCCAAAAGTTCATGTGTTGTGATCCCACATGCAACAAGATTCAGAGGTGGGGCATTTAAGCAATAACTAGGACTCTGACCTCTCTGGTGGATTAACCCATTTGTTGAATTAACCCATTGATAGCTGAATAAACTACTGGGTGGTAACTGTTGGTGGGTGAGGTGTGGCTGGAGGAAGTAGGTCTCTGAGGGTGTGGTCTTGGAATCTCTACCCTGCCTCTGGCTCTTTCTCTCTCTTTCTCTGCTTCCCAGTTGCCATAAGCTGAGCAGCTTTCCTCTGCCACACCCTTCTGCCATGATGTTCTGCCACACATCAAAATGGAGTTGGCCAGCAATGAACTGAGACCTCTGAAACCATAAAACCAAAACAAATCTTTCCTCTTCTAAGTTGTCAGATATTTTGGTGACTAACAGAGTCATTTAGGTGTGGCTTCTCTTTAGAATTTAGAATGCTGGAGAAAGTAAATTTCCAAAGGACAAAGGGAGGAGGAATAAGCATGCAAAAGACAACCCACAAAGGTTGTAACCACTGTCACACTTTTGCCACTTTCTGCCATTTATTTGCCTTCCCCCAAGAGACCCAAAGTCCTTTTCTTTCTTTCTTTCTTTTTTTTAAGGTGGACACAATATCTTTATTTCATTTTTATGTGGTGCTGAGGATCAAACCCAGTGCCTCATGCATGCTAGGCAAGCACTCTACCACTGAGCCACAACCCCAGCCCAAGTCCTTTTCTTTTGTCTGGTCACTCCTCTAAAATTATATTGTCATTTGTTGAAGATGCTATATAAGCTGGCATTCAAAGCCATCCCTGGTGTTTTGCATGTATATATGTAACACACATGTTAATAAACTACTTTTTTTTTTTATAAATCTGTCTTTTGTATCAATAGTCTCTTCCAACTAAAAACCTATGGGTTTTATTCTTCCCTCATATAGCAGAAACATCATGTTTGTTTTCAGGATATAGAAACAAATAAAGATACTAAATTTTATCATCAGTCCCCTCTCCACATTGAAAGACTTCTTAAAACAACCTTCAAATTCTCAATAAATTTCAATTTTCTTTTTTCCCTTCAAGACTGTCCCCAAGGGTCTTGGTGAGGTCAAGGTGTGGTCTCCCTTACTTTAGGAAGAATAAACTCAATTTTATCTTATCAGTTGGTAGTGTTGGTGATAACTGGGGAGCCTGCAGTTGATAAAATTGTTAATTTTTTTTTTATGGGAGGCCATTGTTTTGCAATAGTCTGCTATGCTAGGCCCCAACAGACCAACCAAATCAGAAGGAAGTCACTTGTGCTAAATACCACATAATGAAACTGAACTTTGAAAGGAATAAGCCAGTTATAAAAAACAAACAAACAAAAAACACACAAGAGGTTCCTGTCAACCTGAGTGACTGAAATAAGAGGAAATCTACTTTAATCCTATGTGAAAAGTAATTTTAAAATGATCAACCTGGTTTTATTTCCAATTTCTGTTTTCTTTAGCCCTTTTCTGACTACAAAGCCAACATCCAAATGTTCATTGGAACATTCATTCTATTTTATAGATTGAAGTGTTGCCTGATTCTATAATCACAAATAAAAGCCAACTAGATATTTAAACTCAATTATTTGTAATCTTGTCTTTTGATGGTTTTTGGTGGCCATGAAGGAACCTAAAGAGACTGCTGAGACCCCTTTAGGAATGCAAGCAATGTGCTACTCACCATTTTGAGGTCCTCTGTCTTCATCATGGAGCCCCAAGTGTTGTAAGTTAGTTTCTCTTGGATTAGGCTCAGTTCTTTTTAGAATTGAGTTCCTCTGATATTTTTGGATTTTGAATCCAGAATTCAGTTGCTAAACTGGGAAAGAGCTTAGCATGGTGGGGTACTGAAACCAAGTGAAAATCTAAGTAAACCCTTTAACTTTACTTGATCTTAGTTTATTGCTTTTAGATGACTTTTAAAAATCGCTAATTTTGAAGGTCACACAGCTGAGAAATATATTATTAATATCCCACTAGCTCTGCTGTAGATAATATCTCTGATGTGTAGGTTATAATTATAGCCAGGCTTATGGTTTAAAGAAAACTTGGCCCCACTTCCTCCTTGTTGTATTTAACCTCACATCTATCCTTCACTAGAAAATATCTACACCTCCCTGAGCAGGTGACCCTGGTTAATCACTTAAGGAAAATTTGCCCAAAAGTATCATCTTGAAAACTGATTTACCTGAAAACTCCCCACTCTCTCCCCCAACTTCAAGGATAGTAATAATAAAGAATAGCTAAGATTATTATCAAGATATAATAAAGGGCATCATGACTATGTGTCAAATCAACAGATCACCAGCCACCAGGTTTTATAACCATTCCCAATCACCAGAGAGGTACATGGGAGTCTTTAGTTATCAATAATTTCCTAACATTTCCCTCTGTCTCCCCCTTGCCTAATGAGAAAAGGAGCTTAAAACCGTGCTTAGTTAAAGTGGTCTTTCAGGTCCACCAACTCCCTGGTTTCGCTGGCTTACTAACTAAATCATTTTCCTTGTTCCAACAACGTGGCCTCCATTCATTGGGTCATTTTAAGCCATGAGTAAATGAACTTGGGTTTGGTCACAGTACCAAGAATTTGTTATGCTGTGAGATAACATCTGACCTTTTCAGGTTTGCATCAAACTGTTCAGCACTGGCAAGAGCTGCAGTTTTAAAGATAAGGGATAGAATTTATAGTAAGAGGCTGTTACTTGCAGGAGGCATGTGACTCTAGCTATTAGAATTTCTCAGGAATTTGAGTTTTCTTCTCTCTTTTTACTTGCACAGTTAGGATAAAATCATTAGATAAGTTGGGTAAAGTGGTCTCAGAGTCAAAGCTACAATTTGATTAGTAGTCACAGATTAGACATCTAAATACTGCTAAAATGAAGACTCCTCTGTTAAGATATGCTGGGTCACAGAAAGGTCAGTTTTGACACTAGGTTATCTACTACCCTCAAAAAATTTCTGTGTAGGAAAGAAACACTATCAAAAACATATACAGTCCAACCCCATAATATTTCCCACTTAGATTTTTATCGTGGCTCTGAAAGGTCCAAGATTCAATGTAAAAATGGAATCCTTAATTTTTGAAGGACTGAATATTCCAACTTCCAGCTGTGCCTGTCTTTCATGTGTATTAGCATTAGGCCCTGGAAACCACGCAGTACTTACAAAAATGGTGAAATCTTACTGAAGATAATTTAGAATTATAATAACCATTATGTAGAATGATCCAGATGAACAAAACTGTTCATCTAAGAAGTGCATTTAAATATGAGGCCTTCCAAATTAGGTGCACCCAGGAACACCTACTGCTGTGTAGAAGTTTCTAAAAAGATTTTTAAAAGATCATTGCCTTTTTTTAAAAGATACTTCCTAAAAGACACATGAAAAGATTAAATGGCTAATTGATAAGAAAAATTGATTGCCAGTCTTTTCACTTAGTACTATCCCACTCCAAAGACAAAGGGAAAGCTAACAGGTTCATAAAGCTAAGCCCTCAAGTCAACTAGGTCTACTTCTTTATCTTTATACCCTGGTTCAGAGCTGTCGATGTTAAGTCCAGGCATAAAAATGCTTTTTTTCCCTATTCATAAATGGGTTACACACTGAATTTAGTCATTTAGTTAAAAAACAGAGGTTAAATTGAAAAGGCTGCCCACTGAACTAAGTCTGTCTCCAAAATATACATTTCTGGCATTTAATCCATTATTTTGAAACTAATTTATAAAAACAAATTATATCTATCAAGAAAATTCAACAGAAATTCTTACAAATGGGAGAAAACATGAGTCTAAACAAGTCTCATATTTGAACATTTTGTCTTAATTGGGTTTCTTACTTATGCCTTTTTTTTAATCTAAACAAATAGTGGTATTAAGGCCAAAATCTAAGTTCTATGTCTTTGAAATGCAAAATTTCCACCATATTTTACCTAATAGTCAACCATTTAGAAAAGTGAATATAAGACAGAGAATTTTTAAATGGTATTAAAAATGGGATGAATAAAACATTGATGGGGTTATGTTGCATTAACATTAAGCAGTCCCTAGGAAAGCTTGTGGTGAGTCAAGAAGTTTTCTAGAGATTGTGGTAACAAGGGAAATGGAGAAGTGGAGCTGGCCACTTCCCTTATCTCCAATCCTTGAGAAAGTATCTTGCTTATAAAGTAAAGTAACGTATTTATAAAACATTTGAAGAAAGCCACCTGCACAGTGTATATGTAACCTGTCCCACGTATTCACCCTGCAGGCAGGCATAGTGCAGCTCTCCATTGTAACCTGGCCAGCTACCACCAAGGAGTGATTAAGTAAAAAAATGTCCAAAACCTCACCATTGAATCCTCCAAGTTTTTTTCTTTGGGATTGGAAAACCTGGGGTTAAAAAAAGTTAAAACCAAGGGTACATCTTCCAAGGGTCAGATGGGCCAGAGGAATCTTCAGACAGTCCCTCAATATTACAAAGTCCCAAATCAGTTCACTCTATCTCAATCTGAAAAAAAAAAAAATTAAAGCCAGAAGGTAGGGGCTGGGGATATAGCCCCATGGTAGAGCATGCTTATTATATATAAGGTCTTGCCTTCAATCCCCAACACATAAAATAATTCCAGAAGGCAAGATTGCCATGATCTAACAATTACTTAGGAGAATAACCAAACAGGTCAATCAAGAAAAAAGCAAAGTTCCCATTGTAACTGAACACAATAGATTCACCCACTTGTGAGTAGAAAGCTGATAATCCCACCAGGAGATAAAAGAGTAAAGAAATATTTATTATCTGGCAGCAAGTAAGGAGAGAACTGGAGATACTCTCAAAGCAGTGCCTTCCAAAATGAACAAGAGGTTTATTTTTTTTTTTTGGGGGGGGGACTTATTGTAATGAGAAAGCTCTGCCGTTTATATAAACTAGACATGTTTTTGTCTTTACATGATGTCAAAATTTATTGAAAAGAAGCTCACAGGCTATGTCAGTTTCATCACATTTATTTCATTAAGTAAATCTAGTTTCACATGGTAATCATGACATGGCCATCATAAATTTCTTTTATTCCATTCCTATCATAATTACTAGTATGGCTAACGCTCAAATCATGCATCACACTAAAGCGGTGGTTATCAGGTTACAGAAAGTCTGAGAATGGGTTAAGGCGATCACAAGACTTAAAGAACCAATATAAAAATACAAAGAGCCACTACAGGTGGTCTCAGTTGAGGGGTTAAGAAACCAGTAGCAAAGCTGTCAAGGAGCAGACTATCCAGGCCCAGAGCTGTCAAAGTGAGGGTCTGAATTTCTGTTTCAAAGTGAACAATACCACAGGCAGGAAAAAACATGTTAAGCTGAAGCCCAGGGAAAGGTGGAAGTTTGTCACTGTGACAATCTTCTGGGAAGAAGCTGTAAGGCATATACTGGGTAGTCCCTGATAAGATGACAGATTGGTGCTGCCTGTGCTGTTTGAGATGCCTCTCCTTTTATAGGTCTTAGGTGAGGAGGTTACATTTGCTGTGTTTGATAAACTTGCATGCCTGGTTTTTCTGATATGATTTGATATGCCCATGTGTCTATGTTCTCCTGATTTAATTTGATGTTTGCAGTGGTAATTTTTTATTAGCACAAATAAGTTATTTATCAGTCTGTGTCTTATGATTGTGTGAGTAGCTGGGTTTTTTTTTTTTTTCTTTTTTGATAAATTCCATGTGTCCAATATCTGGTTATCTACTTGCCCAGACAAATTACTAAATCATTTTACCTTAGCAATTGCACTCAAAATGGAGAAGCTCAGGAGAAACTGCTGCTTTATAAATGGAGTTAGTCAGGGCAGGAATGGAGTAACACAGAAAAGACACAACCTGTCCTCTGTACTTACACATATTCATACAGGAATCACAGGTAGAGGCTGGCACATGTCTAAGCATTCTCACTTTCAAGGTCTTACATCATATGTTCAGAAAATGGAGGAGGGCAACACCTTTGGGCAGACAATTTAGTATTATAAAGAAAGAAGTTTACTCCAGGTTACTGTTATGGTTTAGATGTTAGGTGTCCTCCAAAATTTCCAAAATTTTGTCCTCCAAAATTTCATGTGTGAGACAGTGCTAGAAAGTTTAGAGGTGAAATCATTGAGTTATTTTCTTTCTCAAAAGATTGCTCAATCATCCAGAGGAGAATGTGCAGAGGCTTAACCCAATCAGTGAATTAATTCTCTTACAGTGATTAACTGAGTGGTAACTGAAGGATGGTAGGGTGTGGCTGGAGGAGGTGGATCATTGGGGGCATGCCTTTGGGGTGTATATTTTGTATCTGACAAGTGGAGTTCCTCTCTGCTTCCTGATAGCAATGTTCTGAGCCACTATCCTCTACCACACTCTTCCACCACGATGTTCAGTCTCACCTTGAGCACTGAGGAATGGAGCTGGCTTTCTATGGACTGGGACCTCTGAAGCCATGATCCTCCAAATAAACTTTTCCTCCTTCCAAATTGTTCTTGTCAGGTCTTTCAGGCACAGCAGCAAAAAAGCTGACTAAAACAGTTACTTAGAAAATGATTTTGGTTGTTTCCTTATCAGTTTCTTGGAAACAAACAAGAAACTCAAATTTGAAGGAGCATTAATAGGCATTTCAAGGGACAGCAGATTTCTCCACAAGCACTGTGATTGTCCTTAAAATACCTGCCTAGTGATTAATATTTTGACTTAACCTGCCCTGCTGGAATGGGTAAAATGGTTAGAGGTCAAAGAAAAGAGATAACATACAAATAAACGATTTTGAGGAAAAATTTTTGGGTTTTTGAAAGAACAGACAACAGTTATGACAAGTCTGTCTTGGTATGTAAAGCAGGATAGGTTAGGGACCCTTGTGCCAGGCCCCCATCCCACCTCCATTAGCAGAGCTGACAAGAGCTTAAGGACCTCCCTTTCTTCCCACTCTGTTGTGGTGGGAGGAGCTGACTTTCCTGAAGTGGAAACAGCAATATCCTGTTTTTCAAAAGATTGCCCAATCATCCTGAGGAGAGTGTGCAGAGGCTCCAAGTTTGACCTAAAGTAACCAAAGAAGGGAAAGTTCCTGTTTAATACCTCATCTATATTACTCATGTCTTATGCATCTGATTTAAGACCTGGAAATGAGCATTTGGTTCATGTGCAATAAACATTATGGGCAAGGCCCAGAAATCTGTCAATTATCCCTCATTTAGTATAAACTGCCAGTAGCTAAAAAGTGCATATAAGTCCAGATCTCCTTTGAGTCCAGGGGCAGACATCTCTGTCATGTCCCTGCTGTACCCTTATAGCATATGTCCCTTCCGTAAACTCTCTTAGCTGCTTCTCTTTGTCTTGGTGAATTCTTCTCACAGCCTATGCAACAGCCATTGCCTAGGTTTACAATGGTTAATTTCTGGTCTATTCTCCTATGAAAAAATTGATCTCTGGTTGATAGACTCCTCAAAGAGAGGATTCATGACAATTGAGTTCCTTGTGAAGGATTTTCAGAATTGGAATTCAGAGAAAGCTTTGTTGTGCATTTTTTGCCATTTTTCAGGCTCCTTTAGCTGGAAGGAAGTGATATATAAAAGTAACATTTAGAGATGGTATTTTATGAACTCCTCTGATGGTTGGCTTTGCTTAATGAGTAA